ATGCAAGATGGTGAAAATAATAATATCGATTCTCCAGATACTGATTAGTAACTGACGCTGTTGTCTCCAGATCATCACGACTTTGTGGACTGGATAGAATCAGTGTTGAGAGCCTCCCCCATTCCCCAGACACTATTTACCTCCCCATTCCCCAGACACTATTTACCTCCCATTCCCGCATATTTACTCCCTTCCCAGATACTATTTACCTCCCCATTCCCCAGACACTATTTACCTCCCCATTCCCCAGATACTATTTACCTCCCCATTCCCCAGACACTATTTTCCTCCCCATTCCCCAGACACTATTTACCTCCCCATTCCCCAGACACTATTTACCTCCCCATTCCGCAGACACTATTTACTTCCCCATTCCCCAGATACTATTTACCTCCCCATTCCCCAGACACTATTTACCTCCCCATTCCCAGACACTATTTACTTCCCCATTCCCCAGACACTATTTTACCCCCCATTCCCCAGACACTATTTACCTCCTATTCCCCAGACACTATTTACCTCCACCATTCACCAGACACTATTTATCTCCCCATTCCCCAGACACTATTTACCTCCCCATTCCCCAGACACTATTACCTCCCCATTCCCCAGACACTATTTACCTCCCATTCCCCAGACACTATTTACCTCCCCATTCCCAGACACTATTTACCTCCCCATTCCCCAAACACTATTTACCTCCCATTCCCAGACATATTTACCTCCCCATTCCCCAGACACTATTTACCTCCCCTTCCCCAGACACTATTTACCTCCCCATTCCCAGACACCATTTACCTCCCCATTCCCCAGACACTATTTACCTCCCCATTCCCAGACACTATTTACTCCCTTCCCAGACACATTTACCCCATCACAGACACTATTTACCTCCCCATTCCCCAGACACTATTTACCTCCCCCATTCCCCAGACACATTTACCTCCCCATTCCCCAGACCTATTTACCTCCCCATTCCCCAGACACTATTTACCTCCCCATTCCCCAGACACTATTTACCATCCCCATTCCCCAGACACTATTTACCTCCCCCATTCCCCAGGCACTATTACCTCCCCATTCCCCAGACACTATTTACCTCCCCATTCCCCAGACACTATTTACATCCCCATTCCCCAGACACTATTTACCTCCCCCATTCCCCAGGCACTATTTACCTCCCCATTCCCCAGACACTATTTACCTCCCCATTCCCCAGACACTATTTACGTCCCCATTCCCCAGACGCTATTCATCCCCCCATTCCCCAGACACTGTTTACCTCCCCATTCCCCAGACACTATTTACCTCCCCATTCCCCAGACACTATTTACCTCCCCATTCCCCAGACACTATTTACCTCCCCATCCCCAGACACTATTTACCTCCCCATTCCCCAGACACTATTTACCTCCCCATTCCCCAGACGCTATTTATCCCCCCATTCCCCAGACACTATTTATCCCCCCATTCCCCAGCGCTATTTATCCCCATCCCAGACACTATTTATCCCCCATTCACCAGACACTATTTACCTCCCCATTCCCCAGGCACTATTTATCTCCCCCATTCCCCAGACGTTGTATGAGAACCTCTACGAGTTACACATTTCCTCGTTTAAAAATAATTATTATAATTATTATTATTATTATTATTATTATTATTATTATTATTATTATTATTATATTCAGAGTTTAGAAGGTTGAGGATGGTTTACCATCTCAATATAATAATTACACTGAGGTCAGCCAGTCCAGTTCTCTTCGACTTGGGAACATGATAAGTGTCATACTATACCGTCCAGTTAGTATCATTATCTCGAAACGTTTCGCCTACACGGTAGGCTTCTTCAGTCGAACACCATTTCTACTCCCTCCTCTCTATTCGACTGGAAAAACCTTCTGTGTAGGCGAAACGTTTCGTAGTAAATATACCTAACTTCTGCCCATATACCTCACTTATCAACTTCACGACGTCTCCTTACCCCTTTACCTTCGATAATTTCCTAGAGTGCTTTCTTCTCCTGGAGCCCGGCCGTAGGTCAGGCTCGTCTGGTGCTTTGCCTGGTCAGACAGGCTGTTGCTCCTTCCTCTGTCTCTCCCTCATAGCCCATTGTCGTTACTTAATCGCGTATAATACCGACGAGTTGATAAATTAGACACAAATGCAACACTTGGGTATCTTTATTGAGGAAACGTTTCGCCACACAGTGGCTTCATCAGTCCATACCAAGGAGAACAGAAGGATTTTGAGGTAATCAGTCCCTCAGCCTGGACTGATTACATCGACTCTAGGTTGCTGGACAGATTACCTCAAGCTTCTTCTGATCTTCGCAATTCTTCTTTATTTAGGACTGATGAAGCCGCTGTGTGGAGAAACGTCCCCTCAATAAGACACCCAAGAGTTTCACATGTGTTTCATATATGAAATTCAGAGGCGACTATAATACTGCAGACAAAGGCAATGGATAGCTAGTTTTGAGGTTTAACTGGAGTCTACCTGGAGTCTACCTGGAGTCTACCTGGAGTCTACCTGGAGTCTACCTGGAGTCTACCTGGAGTCTACCTGGAGTCTACCTGAAAGGTGTTTCGAGGGTCAACGCCCCCCCTTCCCTAGCCATAACCAGGTCTCCCGGTACATCATGGCCTGATCAACCAGGCTGTTACTGCTAGTGGCCGCATGCAACCCAGCGTACGAACCACAGCCTGCCTGGTGAGGTACTAATTTTACCAAACTATCCAGTTCCCTCTTGAAGACAGCCAGGTATCTACTGGATCCCTTAAGTATGATAGGAGGCTGTTGAACAGTCTTGGGCCCCTGACACTTAATGAGCTTCCCCATAACGTCCCTCAGCCTTAAAATCATCAACTCTTCAAGACTGAGGGACTGAATACCCCAAAACTAATTAAACACGTCTTCCACCATCTACTGTCGTCTCTGTAGTCGACTGAAGGAGCCTGGGCGAAACGTTCCGCAAGCAAAGATACTACACATATCTTTCATTCATCATTCACAATCTTACTGATCTGTTCTTGCTCATAGCTAAAGAATCTTGCTGGCCCATGCGGGTTCGACGCACGCCATGACTCTTGCATTTTAACTTAAAATTACAAAAAATCCCCAAAACTTTACTTTTCCTTTATTCTGTAAAGTGATCTGAGATAACCCGTTTTTATTTCACTAATTAGACATGTGCTTTCTTTATTAGACATGTACTTTCTTTATTAGACATGTACTTTCTTTATTAGACATGTGCTTTCTTCATTAGACATGTGCTTTCTTTATTAGACATGTGCTTTCTTTATTAGACATGTGCTTTCTTTATTAGACATGTACTTTCTTTATTAGACATGTGCTTTCTTCATTAGACATGTGCTTTCTTTATTAGACATGTGCTTTCTTTATTAGACATGTGCTTTCTTCATTAGACATGTACTTTCTTTATTAGACATGTGCTTTCTTTATTAGACATGTGCTTTCTTCATTAGACATGTACTTTCTTTATTAGACATGTGCTTTCTTTATTAGACATGTACTTTCTTTATTAGACATGTACTTTCTTTATTAGACATGTGCTTTATTAGACATGTGCTTTCTTCAGTAGACATGTGCTTTCTTTATTAGACATGTACTTTCTTTATTAGACATGTACTTTCTTCATTAGACATGTACTTTCTTTATTAGACATGTACTTTCTTTATTAGACATGTACTTTCTTCATTAGACATGTGCTTTCTTTATTAGACATGTGCTTTCTTTATTAGACATGTACTTTCTTCATTAGACATGTACTTTCTTCATTAGACATGTACTTTCTTTATTAGACACGTGTTTTCTTTATTAGACACGTGCTTTCTTTATTAGGTTCCTGCTCTCTTTATTAGACATTTGCTTTCTTTATTATGTGTCTACTCTCTTTATTAGACATGTACTTTCTTTATTAGCCATGTGATTTCTTTATTAAACATCTGCTTTCTTTATTAGACATCTACTTTCTTCATTATACGTCTATTTTCTTTATTAGACATCTACTTTCTTCATTATACGTCTATTTTCTTTATTAGACGTCTACTTTCTGTTTTCTTCTTTACTTTAAATTGGGAAAAAACATTATTTTATTATATATGCACCACAGTGGGACTTTATTATACAAAGTAGAACTTTATCAGAACCAACTGGGCTTTATTACCAATAGAAAAGGGATTTGTTTCCCACAGTTGGGCTTTATTATTAGCAATGGTGCTTTATTTCCCACAGTGGGGCTTTATTATTAGCAATGGTGCTTTATTTCCCACAGTGGGGCTTTATTATTTGCAATGGTGCTTTATTTTCCACAGTGGGACTTTATTATTAACAATGGTGCTTTATTTCCCACTGTGGGACTTTATTATTACCATTGGTGCTTTATTTCCCACAGTGGGACTTTATTATTAACAATGGTGCTTTATTTTTCACAGTGCGACTTTATTAGGTGTTTGATAATGCCACACTGTGTGCGAAACCTCTCAAAGTTAAGATTTTTTTGTGTGTATCTCGCGAGGTGTATGTGTCACGCAGGAGCCGTGACTCGACCTCTGCAAAATCAAATAGGTGAGTGCAGGTGTTATTTTTTCACCCCTTCCCCCCAACCACCCATCATTCCACACCCCTACACCCCACACCCCCACACCCCCACACCCTACACCCCCACACCCTCACACCCCCACATCCTTCCCTCGACACAGCAGTGACACACCAACAGCCATAGTCGTGTGGAACAGATTTATTTACACGGAAATGTTCAGAGCTGCACTGTAATGTTTGTGGCACTGTACTGCCATGCCAACAGTGCCTCTCTACACTGCTGTCTTTATTGTTCTTACACTGTCTCACTGTTCAGGTATATGTCATTACACTGTCTATACTTAATCAGTACGTTATTATTGCTATATATATATATATATATATATATATATATATATATATATATATATATATATATATATATATATATCACCTACCTGATCAATCCCTAGGCATTTTAAAGCCCTATTGAATTATCCTTTTCCATAACTCCATCACTAACATTATTCCTTGGATTTTCAAATCGACAAAAGCCACCTGGTGGGGGTGTACGCCCCCTTACACATACATACACACACACACGGACACACGCCCCCCCGACGCAAGGCTCCGCGCACGTCCACTCGTCACCACTGCCAAGACAACACTGGCTGGTGGTGCCTCAGTATGGTGCCCCGCCCCCTTTATCACCAGCCTCTCTCAGTCGCCAGAGGTGATAATGATGATGGCTCCCTTTATGGGGAAGGAGGGAGGGCCTTGATATCGCCAAAGGTGCCTTAATGATAGTGAAGGGCTGGGGTACCCTTCACAAGGGATACCTTAGTGGTAGTGAAGGGCTGTGACGCCCTTCATAGGGAGGTATCATGACGGTACTAAAGAGATGTGGCACTCTTAATAGAGGTGCCTTGATGTTGAAGATCCATGGCACCCTTCAGGGGAGGTAGTGTTATCACACTACTAGGTAGAATTCCTAGCGCTTTCGTGAGTTCTCACATTATCAAGGAGCTATAAAAACAAAACATCAACTGGAAGACATATAAGGGCAAGACTACACCTCACAGTCGCGTCACAACACCCGACTCTGTGAAACACAACTGATACTTCACCCAAGCATTAAAATTTTTTATTTGTCTAACGTATCATTAAATTCTTCCCAAATTTAATTAATTATAAATTAATCCAATTTATATAAACCAAAAAAAAATATTCATACTATTTTCAAAACTGAATTTATATGAAACATGATTCTATTATATTCCTGTCGACCATGGACTTGCATGATACAATTTTCTCGGCCTTTTGAAAATCAATTGGATGGTTAAAATCTCTCACATGAATAAACAAAGCATTAGAATCTTGTCCAACTCAAATGTTGTATTTATGTTAATTTAATCTTTGTTCAAGACTTTTACCAATTTAACCCTAATAAAATATTTTTAGGTCAGTAAGGTTGGTTGTCCCTTTTTGAATTATAAAAAGTATTTCTGACAATTTTAAAAGATTTATCAATTAAGTTTCTTGGGTATTTTAGATCATTAGCTATTTCAAATTTTTTTTTAGATTTCTTCACCTATTAATTCTAGACTACAAATACGCAAAGCTCCCAAAAACATTGATAAGAAAACCGACAGTTTAACACTATCTTGACGTGAAGAATAATAGTGTACATAGGAACAGTTATTTGTAGGTTTTCTGTAAATTTTAAAATAAATAATTGTTACCCTTAATAATTAAAACATCTAGGATAGGAAATGGGTTATTTTCTTCGAACTCAACAGTAAAATTTATAGAATGAGTTAAACTATTTAATTTAATGAGGAGATGGTTCATATTTAGCTTTTTAGGCATAAGACACAAAAATCATCAACACATCTATACCACTTAGCTCTATTACTAAGCATTGTGTTAAGCAATCTTGTTTCAGAAAATTCCATGCATAAATTACTAAGAACAGGTGACAGGATTTCCCATTGCCATACCAAACTTCTGGGTGTAAAACTCGTCCTTAAACACAAATTTTGCATCAACAGTACAAAGTTTAATAAGTTTAATGATTTTAGGAGCTGGCAATGGTAAATCGTAATTAACAAGTTCTTCAGGTAAGAAACTTAATAAATCATCAACAGGAACTTTTATAAACAGGGAAGTAACATCAAAACTAAACATTTTAAAATCATTTAAGTCATTCAAGGTACTTAATTCATCCACTAAATTTATGTTGTTTTTAACATTAAGTTAGATTTTTTTCCAAACAATTGGTCTCAAAATATGAACAAGCCATTTAGATAATTTATAGGAAACTGAGCCTACGGCGCTAACAATTGGTCTAACTGGATTACCTGGTTCGTGGATTTTTATTAATCTGTACATTTAGGGTAAAGATGGATTAGTGGAATTAATTTTTTTAATTAATTCATCTTTGCCTTTGAGTAGACTCTTTATAGTTTTATTAAAATTACTGTTAGCATATTCTAAGGGTTTATTTCTAAGTTTAGAATAAATTTCAGTATCATCTAAGAGATTATTCATTTTATTTTGGTAATTAGTTTCTTTCAAAATTATTATTAGATTTATTTTATCTGCTATAGTAAGATGCAAATTTTTATTACTAATAAGTGTATTATAAGACTTAAATAATCTTTAAAGACAATTAGGAATATTTTGTTTAAACACAGAGCTATAAACCGCCCCTTTACCTATATTAATTTCATCAGTTGATAAATCAGAGAATTATTCTAAGTTACAAAAGGCTTGTGCAATTTCATTATTATTAACTTTTTGAAGTTGCAAAACTTAGACCAAAACTTAGAGCAGCGGTTGTATTTTTGTCTAATATTTCATCTGATAAGTTAATTACAAAATTGTTATTATCATACTTTGTCCAATCACTGTTTTCAGTTAAACTGTCAAATTTTCCTTGTAGTTTGTTCCTCGGCTCATTACAAATTCTTTTGAGTTTATTATAGCAATGATCTAACAAACTAATTTTTCCATTCTTAAGAAATGGCCTGATTAAAGGAATATTTTTTGTTTCTCAATATTTTGAATGCTTCCTTCTTTTCCATGATCGACAGGAATTTAATAGAATCGTGTTTCGTAAAACGCAGATTGGAAAAATTATGAATATTTCTTTTGGTTTACATAAATTGGATTCATTTATAATTAGAAAAATTTGGGAGGAATTTAATGATACATTAGACAAGTAAAAAATCTTAATACTTGGGTAGAGTATCAGTTGTGTTTCACAGAGTCGGGTGTTGTGATGTGACTGTGAGGTGTAGTCTTGTCCTTACATGCCTTCCTGTTGATGTTTTGTTTTTATAGTTCCCTGATGATGTAAGAAGTCACGAAAGCGCTTGGAATTATTCTGCATATTGTTATATGCAGAACAATATATATATATATATATATATATATATATATATATATATATATATATATATATATATATATATTATATATATATATATATATTTTATATATATATGTGTGTGTGTGTGTGTGTGTGTGTGTGTGTGTGTGTGTGAGTGTGTGTGTGTGTGCGTACTCACTTAGTTGAGGTTGCAGTGGTACGAGTCCTAGCTCCTGGCCCTCTGTGTGTGTGTGTGTATAAACAGATAGATATACAGAGAACATACAAGTACACAAGAACAGAGAACACAAGGCAACGCAGCTGACTGAAAAGGAACACTAACTGTCCTCTCTGGTAACATCTCAGAGTTGGCAAGATTTTTTATCACACAGCTTTGACCACTGGAGCTGAACCAGTGGTCGTGGGTGACAACACTACCACCACTGGCTACGTGGATAACAACACTGCCAGCACTGGTCACAACGGGTGACAGCACTTCCACCGCTAGACAAGTGGGTGACAACACTGCCACCACTGGACAATTGGGTGACAACCACTGCCACCGCTGGCTACGTGGATAACATCACTGCCAGCACTGGACAATTGGGTGACAACACTGCCACCACTAGACAAGTGGGTGACAACACTTCCACCACTGGACAAGTGGGTGATAACACTGCCACCACTGGACAATTGGGTGACAACCGCTGCCACCGCTGGCTACGTGGATAACATCACTGGAAGCACTGGATAATTGGGTGACAAGACTGCCACCACTAGACAAGTGGGCGACAACACTGCTACCACTGGACAATTGGGTGACAACACTGCCACCACTAGACAAGTGGGTGACAACACTGCCACCACTGGACAATTGGGTGAAAACACTGCCACCACTAGGCAAGTGGGTGACAACACTGCCACCACTATACAAGTGGGTGAAAACACTGCCACCACTGGAAAAGTGGGTGACAACACTGCAGCCACTATACAGGTGGGTGACAACACTGCTACAACTGGACAATTAGGTGACAACACTGCAACCACTATACAAGTGGGCGACAACACTGCCACCATTGGACAAGTGGCGACAACACTGCCACCATTGGACAAGTGGGTGACAGCACTGCCACCACTGAACAAGTTGGTGACAACACTGCCACCACAGGACAAGTGGGTGACAGCACTGCCGCCACTGGACAGGTGGGTGACAACACTGCCACCACTGGACAAGTGGGTGACAGCACTACCGCCACTGGATAGGTGGGTGACAACACCGCCGCCACTGGACAAGTGAGTGACAATACTGGCACCACTGGACAAGTGGGTGATAACACTGCAACCACTGGACAAGTGGGTGATAACACTGCCACCACTGGACAAGCGGGTGACAACACTGCCTCCACTGGACAAGTGGGTGACAACACTGTCTTCACTGGACAAGTGGGTGACAACACTGCCACCACTGGACAAGTGGGTGAGAACATTGCCACCACTGGACAATTGGGTGGCAACACTGCCACCACGGGACAAGTGGGTGACAACTCTACCGCCATTGGACAAGTGGGTGACAACACTGCCACCACTAGACAAGTGGGTGACAGCACTGCCACCACTGAACAAGTGGGTGACGACACTGCCACCACTGGACAAGTGGGTGACAACACTGCCGCCACTGGACAGGTGGGTGACAACACTGCCACCACTCGACAAATGGGTGACAACACTGCCACCACTGGACAAGTGGGTGACAACACTGCCGCCACTGGACAGGTGGGTGACAACAAAACCACCACTGGACAAGTGGGTGACAACATTGCCACCACTGGGCAAGTGGGTGACAACACTGCCACCACTGGACAAGTGGGTGGCAACACTGCCACCACTGGACAAGTGGGTGACAACACTACTGCCACTGGACAAGTGGGTGACAACACTGCCAACACTTGACAAGTGGGTGACAACACTGCCGCCACTGGACAAGTGGGTGACAACACTGCTACCACTGGACAAGTGGGTGACAACACTGCCACCACTGGACAAGTGGGTGACAACACTGCCGCCACTGGACAAGTGGGTGACAACACTGTTACCACTGGACAAGTGGGTGACAACACTGCCACCACTGGACAAGTGGGTGACAACACTGCCACCACTGGACAAGTGGGTGACAACACTGCCACCACTGGACAAGTGGGTGACAACACTGCTACCACTGGACAAGTGGGTGACAACACTGCCGCCACTGGACAAGTGGGTGACAACACTGCCACCATT